TTTTCCTGTGCAACCCCACTCCGACAGCTGCTGGTTTCGTCCCTTACCGGTCAGACTGAAGAATTTGTTGTTAACAGACTTCCGAAAAGTTCAATTTTCTGTGTTCTGGCTGTGTTTTCTGTTGCTAATATTTAGTTGTCTCTAAACTTGCTTGTGTGAGAAGGCACGGATAAAATGAAAGAGAGAATCCTAGAAGCAGCAAGAGCTAAGGGGACAGTCACCTACAAAGGAGTTCCTATCAGACTGTCAGCGGATTTCTCAAAAGAGACCTTACAGGCAAGAAGGGGCTGGAAAGAGGTATTCCAAGTCATGAAATCCAAACACCTACAACCAAGATTGCTCTACCCAGCAAAACTTTCATTTAGAATGGAAGGGCAGATAAAGTGCTTCTCAGATAAGACCAAATTCAAGGAGTTCATCATCACCAAGCCCTTATTATATGAAATGTTAAAGGGACTTATCAAAGAAAAAGAAGTTAAAGAAACATGAACAGTGAAAGGACAACAAACTCACAGTTATTAACAACCACACCTAAAACAAAAGCAAACTAAAAGGACAGCTAGATCAGGAGTGGAAACATAGAAATGAAGATCTCAAGGAGGGTTAGCAACAGGGGAGTGGGAGGAGGAGAAGGGGGGAGAAGGTACAGAAAATAAGTAGCATAGACAGTAGATAGAAAATAGATGGGGGGCAAGAATAGCATGGGAAATATAGAATCTAAAGAACTTGAGACACATGGACATAAACTAAAGGGGGGGTAATGGTGGGGACGGGGGGGTAGGGTGGAGGGGAATGAAGGGGGGAATAGAACTGTAACAGCATAATCAATAAAAAATTTAAAAAAAAATCACTTTGCAAAACACTGAATTTATTCCTTATTTTCTGCTTCATTGTGGTGAAAAGTCTAATGCTATTCAGATCCCTCTAACTTAGTTTGTTTCCACTCTCCTGTCCCTACTCCAGACCAAGAAGCTTTTAGGATTTTCGTCTCCAGTGTTCTGAAATTTTATAATGATTTGCCATCAAAGTCTTTTTATTATATTAAGCTGGTCCTTTTTATTGTGAAAACTCATATCCCATAGTTTCGGAAAATCTTCTACTGATATTTGAGAATTTCCTTCTTTCTTTTTCTCTATTTTGTTTCTAAAAATCATGCTAGCTAGATACTGAGCCTCCCTGATGGAGCCTCTAACTTGTCTTGTTTTTAGTTTATTTTAATGTCTGTTGCTTCCCTGTCTGGCCTACTTCAATTTTATCTTCCAACTTTTCTGAGTTATAAAAAGTCTGATTATACTTTAAATCTCAAGAGCTCTTTCTTATCATCTTTCAGTTTGTTTTTTATGGCATTCTATTTTCTTTTAATGAATACAAAAATCTCTGAAAATGTTACAGTTGAAATTTTTTTGACATTTTCTTCTGTGACTGACACTGTTTCTGTTTCCTCTGATTTCTTTTGTTCTGGGCTCTGTATTTTATGAGATGATTTTCTTAAAAGACTAGTGATCTCTGGCTGACAGATTAAAAGTGAAGGAGTAAAAACTAATTAGTATAAAAATAACAGTAACCTAGATTTTCTGATTCTCAGTTCAAAGTTCATTTCGGCATACTATGATGTCTTTTGTCTCCAAGTTTTGAAAAAATAAAAAAGCCAAATGATTCATTTAAAGCCATAAAAAATGTCTGTATTCCCAGGGTTGAAAAATATATTAATAATATGCCCATTTAATTTATAATATTTAGTTTTTCTTCAGCATGAAATACTTAGCAAAAATCAACATAGAGACTGATCAATGAAGACTTTTAACAAATCTCACAGTGCACAACTACTTTCCCATCCTTAAACTCCCAAAACTCTGCTCAGAACAGTTTTAGTTTGCCAATAATTTATTTAACAAATCTTTTATGATACAAAACCACATAGTGAAATTAAAACATTTTGTACAAAACCACTCTGCAGATTTTTTAAAATCCTCACCTGAGGATATATTCATTGATTTTAGAGAGAGAGGAAGAGGGAGAGAGAGAGAAACAACGATTGGTTGCCTCCCGTACATGCCTGGACCACGGATCAAACCCACATCCTAGGTCTGTGCCCTGACCAGCGATGGAACCTGCAACCTTTTTTGGTGCTCGGAACAACGCTTCAACCAACTGAGCCACCTGGCCCAGGCCACTGTGCAGATTTTTAAATCAAACCTTAAAAGCTTAAAATGCTCCCAGAAACAACCATATTATATGAGAACCTGCAACCTTGTTGCTTTATTTTCAAGTTCAAAGAGGTGGGCAATGCATTCTTAGCATAAAAATTCAAGTTTTCCCAATCCTTAAAACACTGAAAACATAATTCAAGTAAAAAGGAAAAGTCATTATAAAAAGGAATTTATCCAGCAATAAAGCTTAAAGAAAACCCTTTCCAAATAGAATTTAGGGTGATTCAATAGATTCATAAAAAATTAAAATACCCATTCTGGTTTAAGGTAGTTCTTCATTAAAATGGAGCACTTGTCTTTTTGTTACTGCTTTTCTGCTCTAACAGAAAAAAAAAAAAAACTACACCTTTGCTAAAATAAACCACTATACAAAAACACACAACTAATTTACAAATATAACAATTAGTATGGTCTTATTTTAAGGTGTACTATTCAACATAAATTTCAACATAATCAACAAAAGCTTATGCTTCCTCTGATACCAGTCATATACCATATAAAGTTAAATGTACTGTCTTGCCAAAGCCCAAGGTAATTGAGTCTAAAAATATACTTTTTTTCTCACTCTGATCTAGTCAGATTGGTATTTAACCCGAACATCATCAAATGCTGCATTAAGTATGCCAGGATGAAAAGATTACTTAAATACAAGCTCTCCAAATGTGTATCACGTAGAAACTGCCCCTAGCCACAGAAGACTGCATGACTGCATCCAAGCGCGTCCCCTTCACCCCAACATACACAAATATACACATGAAAATATAAATTAAAAAGCAATATAGACAATGTGAGAATAGCACTGATACTTGGAAAACCTTAGAGTTTGTATAGTCCAATGAAGGTAAGATAAACTGGAAAAACATCTCATATTAAGCAAGTATCAGTTGGCAAGGGGGGTGGAAGCTTCATTTTTCTTTAAATTGTTCTAACTACTTAGTTTCTACTTTACTTTTTAGACTGAGACACTGACAGAGTCTCTAATGCGAAAACAAAAAATCTCTAATCACACCTACATTTGACATCAAGACAAAAACGTAAAAACCTATTAACAAAAGCTATTATTAAAAGAGCTGCCTTTCCAATCACTAAAAGACCAGCTTGATCAGCCATTTGAAAATTTCCATGATGACAAGATGGAACCAGACTGGAGGAAAAGATTGAAAGGGCTCGCTCAGCACCCCCCAAAAGTAAAATATACTGATTTTACTTCAGTTTTCTATAAAAACTCTTTAAAATTTCCATAGTTGCTTAACTAAAAATTCTCAGGCAAGCTGTGCAAACTTGAACATGCTGCATTCTCCAACATACATGAAAAAAAAAGTGTTTTTTTTTTCTTGTGCAACTGTGCTCCTTCAATAAAGAGGAAATGTATACAACTGTTTAGGTTTTCCACTTGAAATGGCAATTTAAAGACATTACTAACTTAACTTGCAATTCCAATATGAATTCTAAAGTTTGAAACGACTTAGAATCAAATTTTCTAACACTAAATATAAAGAGCAAGCAAGTTTTGGGGAAGAACTCAGAATCTTAAGTTTAAATATTACATACTACTTAATAACTTAAAATTTAAAAAGTTTAAATAGAACACATCTGAGTTTAAAGTGAAATTGACATCTAAAACCTAGCATAATAAAGCTGCCCTTTATTTTAAAAGGGGTAGAAACTTTCCCCATATCATGATGGAAAACCAAAGCCTGTTTGCCTATTTTATAAATATCCATGTCCTTTCTTGGATTCAAAAATCTACTTTCACTCACATCCCTTGGGTTTTTCCACCTTCTATCTCCCTGAACATCACTGTTGCATTCAGATCACAACTTCTAGCCAAAGGCAGAGATCATGCAAGTCCCCCGAAGACTTCAAAACATTAAAAGCAATAAAAAAAGTAGAGGAAATACTTTCATGCATGGAACTGCTAGGAAATCCCTCTTTCCTTTTAGTAAAATAAGTCTCTTGCTCACTTTAAGAACAAAACATCACTGCTACATATAAATACACAGCATTCTCAATAATTCTATAGAATAAAAATTCTTATAGATTTTGCTAGTATTTTGGCTTAAAAAGAAAAAAAAAAGACTGAGGAAAGAACTGTATCCCAAAAGAAAAGGACAAGAAGAGACATAGATAAGTCAGAATTTCTCCTCTTATCAAAATGTGGATTCCTTAACACTAATTAAAAGAATGCTTTGAAAGAGAACTACTTGCTACTTCTTTATTACTTGATTCCATTTAACCACAAAGAGAATATCTCAACTAATCCCCTTCTATTTAAAAATGAACTAAATGTACATTTTACTGTAAAAGAGAAATCTAACTCAAAATATTCTCAATACATACACAAAAGCATGGGCAAAATCACTGCAACAGAATCACTTTCTATGCACACATCTCCTTAGATCTCCATAAAGCATGGCACAAAACAGCTCAGATTTCTGTAAACTGTCTAGTATTTGGCTATACTTTTGCATCATGATTATTGCAAAATTCTAAAATTAATATTTAAATGTCCTCATTATTCACTGTATTGAGAATTCTCAAGAGAATAACACATAAAACGTTTGAATTTATAAATGACAGTATTCTAATTTGCAATGTTATACTTTGACATATATAAACAAAATGTTAAAACCCTGGTAATTCATCACTGCATTTTAATATCCCCTGTTAAAAGAAATCAATTGCACATGAAGCACAAACAACTGGAAAGAACCCAGAAGAGCAACTAGAAAACGATGACTTTTTAAAATGCTGACGCTTTTCACACCCAAGTTCGGTCGTGCCAACTGGAGAGGTGTTAGATATGACTTTATTAAATCTGAGAAGTGTAGTCATTTCCATGACATTACAAAAATTGGAACCAAGAGCAATTTATTTTCACGGTCCTGGTTCTTCTGATATAAAAGCACTTTTTAAGAAAATCATTTCTGCAAACTTAAAAGGTGTTTTGGATTCATCATTTGTTTCCTATTGCTTTCAAATAATTTTGTCCCACATTTTCTAGTGAGCCAGGAATACAAAGAGAGATAAAGGAAACACATGTACACATAGTGATCTAGGATCTGAACTACGTCAGACATGGCATCCATTAAGAGGGCCTTTGCTCCTTACTGTGTAAGCGTCCTTAGCTACGACCTGACTTGCACAAGAAGTACACATGGCCCCTGAAAGGCGCTTTAGTCCCCTTTGAAAGACACTGTTGGAGAGACTATAAATGACACAGTTGCAGAAACTGTTACTAATAGCAAGCCAGGTGGTCAAGAAGGATGCGAAGCGGCTGCTGTGGCCAGTGGAGCTCTCCAACAAGAAGTAGATGATGTACGGCAACCAGAGGATGTAAAACACACTAGTAATCCGAAAGAGGACCATGGCATAGCGCTTGTCAGGACAGGCCTGCACGTCCCCAGTCTCCCCACTCTGGCTGCTGAACCGAGCTTGCCTTTCGCTGATTTCCTTTGTGTGCTGTTGGCAGATGCGAAAGATGTTGAAATAGGTGAAGCACACAATGAGGGCTGCTGGGGCATATAACATCATCACGATGAACAGGGTGAAGTAGGGGTTGGTGTGCCAGGACTCTGCACACCACTGAAACACATCTCCATGATATCCAGGTTTGCCCCAGTGGAAAAAAGAAGGCAGAAAGACCAGTGTAGAATATAGCCAAATGAGGAAAATACACAGGCGAAGTCTCCAGGGTGTAACCAGGGTGTTATAGGTTAAAGGTTTAGTGATGGCAATATATCTATCAATACTGATACAAGCCAGAGAAGTCATGGAGACACTCTTCAGAACTGATACTATAAAACCAAACACCTGGCAAGTCAAGGACTCCTCTATTGGAAGCGGGTAGTGGAGGAGTGATAGAGAAGGAACCAGGCAGCTGACTCCAACCAAGAGGTCAGCATATGCCATAGTCTGTATAAAATAACTTGTAGTGTGGTGATTCAACAAAGGTGCACAGTGAAATACAAAAATCACAATGATGTTGCCAGAAATTATCAATACAGTTAGAAACACAATAATCAACACTTCCAAAAGGCAAAAATTGACAGTTTCCAAATAGCCAAACGCCAAGAGGCAAAAAGCGTGGCTGCTCTGATTACCATCCAAGGTGGAGTTCATCTTGAGCTCAGGAGTGATCTCTCACTTCATGCTGCCGCTTGGCTGCTTCCAACAGTTCAAAGGAGCAGCTGCTGTCATTGCGGTCAGCTCTGTGTGTTTGTAATAATGCCCAAGGAGCCTCAGTCCCAGGGCTCGCGATGCTGCTGCTCTGATGCATTGCCTGCAGTGCAATCCCCCTTTAAGTCCTTGGAATAGGGAGAGCCAGCAGCAGTTGTCTGGCCAGTCCCAGATGCGGCCATAGTACCACGTTTACCGTATACATAGTGCCAGGGGAGTAAGGCAAAGTCTGGGTACAATGTCTTCAGGCCAATAAGGGTAGGGGGTAGGGGCAGAAGACAAGGGAAGAAAATTAGGAGCTTCAGCAGGAGTTGTAATGAGTCTCCTCTGAACAGCTGATAGAAGAAAAGGAGAGAGCATTTTATATTTTACATCCCAATACAAAAATCAAAGAATCTGGCTAGCTCAGGCTGGTATCACCCCTCCCACCCCACCCCAACCCACTAAGAACTACCCAGCACCCCACATAACTAATGGGTCCTTACTCTCCAGAGGAGGCGCAGCAACAGCAAGCTTTCGTGATCAACATAAAACAAAATCAATTGTAGTCAGATCAATCTACCCCCATTTTCCTATTGCCGGAGCCTTTTGGGGGAGAAAAGGAATCTGCTTATTGCATTTCTAAAAACATTTTACCATAATTACCATGAATAAAATTAACTAAAATAACTTATTTTCTTGATTCCCGTGCAATATTTTGCCTCTTTGAAAACATCTCAACAGAATTCGTCTGCCTAACTCAATTTCAGAGTGTTACCTGTAATTCTGCATGCTGCAATCCAAACAAAAGCCACACAACATCCTTAACAGAAAGCCTCGCAAAGCAGGAATGTGTCTCAGCCGGGTTTACTGCAGCACTGAGACACAGAGGGAGGGGATAAAGGAGTAGGAGGGGAAATCAGGAAAGAGGGGGCTTGGGAAAGAGAAGCAGCGGGGGGAGGGGAAAGAAAATGCCTATGCAGGCACATGCTCTGGCATCTTCGGCAGCTCATTAGGATTCATCACCAGATTTCCAGATTGCATAGTGGGGGACTAAATGAACATGCCCGCAGTGCAGGGTTTCAAAGCTGTTTCCTCGTCTGTCTGGAATCCCCCTTTTGGTAGATGAACAGAGAGAACTCAAACTGCTAGTAAGGAAAAGAGGTAGTAACTGGGACATTGTGCCAGCCAGGAATTAAGACTGAAATGCACTGCCAGAGGGGTAGGTAATGCTGAGAGGAAATTCCCATTTTCTTGTAGCATTTTCCCAGGGAACAAAGAACAACGTGAAAGCATGAAAGCGCCCCGTGCATTAACAGTGCATGGCGATTGAGGAATGGTCATTCAGCAGCACATGAAGTTCCAGCCAGAAAGCTAAAATTGCAGCATTAATTTTCTCTCATGATTCACTGGATGTTGGCCAATATTAAGAAAGATGACCAAAATAGCAAGCAAACTTAAATATCAGGGGTTTTTTTGAGAAAAAACAAAGAAAATCTTACCCATTCTTAGTAGTGCAGAAATAGTACACACACAGAAATTACATTTTTCCTGCATTTACCATTATCCTATGGTTTTGAGATGCCATGTCTTGCTCTAGTTCCCTGAGGCTCAGTACATACATATATAATAAAAGATGGAAAAGTAAAGGTATTGTTTCAGCCAGGCTTGAAAATTACAGGAAGTGGCATGGTACAAATTAACCTTTGAATCTCAGAATACACAATTTTGTTTGTGTCTACTTAAAACAATGCAAAGTGGGATTGCATTGTGGCTCTTCTGATAATGTCATAAATGATGATAATTTTCAGCTAATTAGAAAATGTATATTTTTATTATTCCCCCCAGGTGTCTTTGGATTCTCAATTCACCTTTCTAAATAAAGTTCCAAAGATCCAATATTGCAAAAGAAAATAAATGTTGGTTACTTGTAAGCCTTCCAGAAGGTCTGCACACCTGGGTGGAAAATATATTATGTGACCCAAGTCTCGTTGTTTCACATACACGCTTTCTCACGGCAGGCAAACAACCATCCATAACCAGAACTCAATTAATTACATTTTAAGATCTGAAGCACAACACTTATTGCACAAAGGCAAGAAACTCAAACACCTCCTGAGAATGAGCCTGGCAGCAGCGTCTGACAGGTCTTGAAGAGGGCACAGCACTGTGTGTGGTGCAGTGTGAGCAGAGCCACAGCACTGAACTCTCCTGGTTCCAGCCCTAGCTCTTCTGTCACTTGAGCCTCTCTCAGACTTGGTTTCGTCACCTGTGGAAAGCATCTCAACACTCCCTATTTCATGGGGTTGTTGAGAAATAAAGGAGACTTTCCAATACTTATCACAGAGGGCGTATACAACTTGACTAATTTTCTTTTCTCACAGTTGAAACAGCCTGTGCTTTCCTCCCGATCATGCAGCACTGCTTAAGGCTGGGCTCCTGAATCCTAAGTGCCCTCTCTTACTATGACCGCCCCGCTCTAAGACACACAACAGTTATTTAAACACTTTGCTGAGGCTAGCTCAATGATGATACCTAGAAAGGAGATGATATGGAATCAATTATTCCCTCTGCACAAATAATTTCTCTGCCTGTGTCTCCAGCCATGAATTCACTCCTGAGGTCCTTTCTGCATCTACAATTTGACTGCTAACACACATCTACTACCCAGTTGTCCTGTAGAGACTTCACCCATAGCACCCAAATATTAAATACAGTTTTCCTACCAAATTAAAAAAAAAGTTTTCCTCTTGTTTTCTCCCAGGCATTCAAGAATGAAACTTAGGAAACATCTTGACCACTCTCTCCCTCAATGTACTGTTCCTAGGCACCCTGTCCTGGAAATCTATTTCTACACCAGCTCTCAAATTCACAAACAGTTTTCCTCTTGTTTTTTTCCCAGGCATTCAAGAATGAAACTTAGGAATCATCCTGACCACTCTCTCCCTCAATGTATTGTTTTTAGGCACCATGTCCTGGAAATCTACTTCTACACCAGCTCTCAAATTCACTTCCACTTCAGTATTTAACACTTTACTTTAGTCCATCATTAAATATAGTCTAGACTTCTAGTAGCCTTGTTCCTCTTCCTAATATATTGTTTCTAATACAGCTATATCTAGTACCACATGCTTCCTTCCAGTACTCTGCTGTTCAAGACGAGTCAATGGCCCCCCGCAGCCTCTCCAGTGGATACCGCTGTACCACATCCCCCAACCCCTTGCCCTCCAGCCAAACCATCTGCCACAGACTTCATTTTTAAACTCCCATCTTTGAGTGCTTAATAAATAGTAAATGAAAACAAGGAATGATTTCTGAGAGTTACAGTTCAATAAACAGGAAAAGCATTTGTCAAAGTAAGGAGCTCAGACTATTACAACTCCTTGTGAATCTGGGCATGTAATTATTCTCTCTACACCCAAGGTTACTTGAGTTTGAAACTACATAGTTATGCTGATAAAAATGTATTACATTGGCTGATAACTTAAAATGTAATAAAATGTATTGCAACTATAAGCTGGTATATTACTGTCATTAGTATAATATAACAAGTCTTCCAACTTTGTTTTTATTTGAGTAAAACCGCTCTTGGAGCTGTAATCAAAATATTCACATAGAAAACTTTTTTTTTTTTAAAGCCCAATAGCAAAAGCTTCATGATATTAGATTTGGCGAGGAATCTTGTATGTGACATTAAAAGCACAGGCAAAAAAAAAACCCCATAAAACAACAAATTGTATTTCATAAAATATAAAAATTTTGTGCATTAACGGAAACTATCAATAGAATAAAAATGCAAACTACTGAATGAAAAAAAAAAAAAAGCCCGATGGCTGCACTTCTTAAAGTCAGTCAAGAGTTGAATGTTTAGTTTTAAAGAAAAACATTTTCTTCAGAAGAGACAACTTATTAATAACATGGGGGCAATAAATCTACATCCTCCCAAAAATCTATACATTCATTTCTTTTTTAAAATAATGCAGTCTCATAATATATTTGATTTTTATAAAAGAGAGAACAACTATTTTGCATACTTGACTGGAAAACAATACATGAAAAATCAACTCTCACCCTGGCTGATGTGGCTCAGTGGACTGAGAGCCGGCCTGCAACCCAAATGGTCATCAGTTCGATTCCCAGTTAGGGCACATGCCTGCGTTGCAGGCCAGGTCCTCAATAGGGGGTACACAAGTGGCAACCACACATTGATGTTTCTCTCCCTCTCTTCCTACTTCCTTTCTCCCTCTCTCTAATAAAGAAATAATTTTTAAAAAATCAGCTCTAGCCCAGGCCAGTGTGGCTCAGTTGGTTGGAGCATTGTCCTGTGAACTGAAAGGTTTCAGGTTCAATTCCCAGTCAGTGCACACGCCTGGATTGCAGGTGCAGTTCTTTTGGTTGGTGTGCATATGAGAGGCTACCAATCCATGTTTCTCTACCCCCCCTCCCTCTTTTCCTCCCTCTCTAAAAGCAATAAGCATGTCCTCAGGTAAGGATAAAAAATAAATAAACTTCAACTCTTATTTTTCACTGGATGGTTGGATTATAAGTGCTATTTTAATTTATTCTTCATGGTTTTATTCATTTTATGAATCTCCCAATTTCTATGTATTATTTAATCAGTTTTTAAAAAATGAGCCAAAATAACATATAGCATGTCCCTTTTGGTAAAGCTAATGAGAACACTTGGCAATGAGATGTCCTCTCTGAGTCTCCCTGAATGAGTGATGGCAGATTAAGTCACCTGCTCCATGGGGCTCAGTTCCACTTGTCCTTATGCCATCTGAGCAATACTCCTTCAGAGAGTCATTGGTCCACCATTCAACTCAAAATGACCCCTCAGAGCCTCAGTTAAAAATTCTTACAGAATGAGAATATAACTGGACGAAACATATGAGGATGCCAAGATTTAACCATTTCATTTCTGATTAAATATTTTCCTGATCTATAAAAATGGCAACTTTTACATATATGATTCCACCTAAAACTAAAAAAAATTAAAATAACAAGATGATAGAACTAAGAAGGAAATAAGGCAAGAAGAGAAACATGAAACAAAAAAGGAATACTTTTCACATTATATATATATATATATATATATATATATATATATATATATATATATATATATAATATCCTTGTCCCAACTTATTTAGTGGTTTAACAATTATACATAAGAAAGGGTTAATCTCATTTCTTCAAATTCATCAGATTCACTTCTGGGCACTGCTGTTTATTATTTGGTAAAAGTGGGTTTTAAGTTTGTTTAATTAACATATTATTTTAGTTCAGCGGATGGAGGTGTATTTATAGAGACATTATTACAAAACCAATTTGGGGTACTTTAATTCATCTTCTACTCCTCCCTCTTCATCTCCCACATTCATTTAGTCATTAAGAACCAAGGATTCAACCTCTGAAATTTCTCTAGAAAAGTCTCCTTCTCTATCTATCCCTTTGCCACTCCACTGCAAGTCACAATTGTGTCTTGCCTAAATTCCTAACAGGTTTTGCCGCAATTAATCTTACTCTATTCTCACTACAGTAGCCAGAATGATCTTTCTAAAACTAAAAGTGGTAGTACGAACAACAACAATACCTAAGCAGTAATTCATACTTATCATGGTCATTATCTATGTTCTTTTTACTTTTTAATTTTAATTGTTGTTCAAGTAGTTTTCTGCCTTTTTTGATTATTGCCATTACAGTTGTTCTATTTCCCCCTTCATTCCCCTCCCCCTGCACGCCCCCTCCCCCACCAGCCCCCCTTTACTTTATGACCATGTGTCTCAAGTTCTTTAGATTCTATATTTCCCCTACTATTCTTGCCCTCCCCCTATCTATTTTCTACCTACCGTCTATGCTTATTTTCTGTACCTTCTCCCCCCCTTCTCCTTCTCTCACTCCCCTGTTACTAAACCTCCCCGTGATCTTCATTTCTATGGTTCTTAGTTTGCTTTTGTTTTAGGTGTGGTTCTTAATAACTGTGAGTTTGCTGTCCTTTCACTGTTCATCTTTTTTATCTTCTTTTTCTTAGGTAAGTCCCTTTAACATTTCATATAATACGGGCTTGGCGATGATGAACTCCTTGAATTTGATCTTATCTGAGAAGCACTTTATCTGTCCTTCCATTCTAAATGAAAACTTTCCTGGATAGAGCAATCTTGGATGTATATCTTTGGATTTCATGACTTGGAATACTTCTTTCCAGGAACACTTATAAGGAGGGGAGCCTTAGTTGTTCACCAGAGCAGGGCCACCCAGGTTGCTGGTTTGTGATGCTTTAGGAGGGGGCGGGGTCAGAGAGGGACAATGGCAGTTCCCTCTGCTGCTTCCTGCCACTGGGGCCTGCCTGCGTGGTCCGTCTCACTGCTGGCTTCTTCACCGGTTTATCTGAGCACAAATGTGTGACTGCAATC